CCCCCTCTCCCTCTCTCTCTCTCTCTCTCTGTCAGTAGCACTAAACTTAATTGAAAATATTAATTAATTTAAAAATTGCCATCTTGTATATATATATTTCATTATGTTATAGGGAAAGGGCTTTACATAAGTTGGACAACTTGTGCCCAATCCCTTTTGTATATTAGATGCAAATAAAAACATGTTTAAATCAAAAAAAATCGGAGTATATATGCAGAACGTTAGTTTTATCGCTTTTTTTATAGGCCTGTCGTCGATTAACCGACGACAGACCGATATAAAAAAAAAGTAGAAAAAAGTCGATAAAACGTCAGAATAGTTCGGACTAATCTAACATGAACAACATACACGTGGCCTAACGACATTGGACCACTCACCTTGCTATTATATAAATCAAGTAAAAATCTGCCACGAATTTTGGTCTTCCAATTCGACACCTTTTCATCCTGGCTCTTGGCCACAGGAGGACCCGCTTCTTTATTTGTGCAGCTTTTGATCCCCGTAACCCCGGTTCTCGGCTACAAGAGAGCCAGCTTACTTATATTATATATACCCTTTGATCCATATGGGCTAAGCATGCTACTACTGTCTGGTTGAAATTTGTGAATCTTTTCACAAAAATTCTTACGATTTGTCGAAAGATTTAGAGTTACGACTATCTTTACAGAACTCTTGTAAGAACTTTTGTGAAACAGAACAGCCGAAAGTTTTCTCTTACGTGTAAAGTTTGTTGTAAGAATTTTCGTAAAAAGACTCACTGCCTAGACGTTTGGATGAAGATGTCATTTAAATCAACAAGGCTAACTTGACGTTCTTTTCCTGACCTGTCAGACCTCAGGAGAGTCGGACTCGGTATCTCCAAAACTACTATTTGGTTGAAATCTGTCCAGCAGTTCAAGAGGAGATTTCATTTAAAGAAAATCAGCCAAAGAGACCAGTCTCTAACCCCTTTATATGTATCCCTTTTGATCCGGATGGACTAAGCATTCTATCATGACAATTACACTGGATCTGGAAATCTGCCCTAAAGTCAGAGAAAATGTCATTTAAAGTAAATCAGCGTGACCCCCTTTACTCCATCCATCAGTTCCTTTGTTTTTATAACTTGTGATTCAAATGGACTACTTGTGCTACCACTACACATTGATCGAAATCAGCAGTAGTTCGGAGGAGACTTGGTCAATTTGACCCCTTGAACCTGGACTGGTCCTCAGTGGCATCATTTGTATAAGCTCTGAACCCCATTGGCTTAGCATGCTATTACTTAATTTCAGTTGAAATGGGTAAGAGATTGCATTTTAATTAAGCCAGTTAATTCGGTACCTTCATTTTATCTGGCCCCTTAGTCCCCAGGACTGTGTCACAGTTGTCTCCCTTATAGATGTTTTAGTTCATATTATTTAACAGAATTATCCCAATGTTATCAAAATATCCATTTTTTGTGTACCTTCAGATATGTCATATACTCAAGTATACCTTCTAGTTCTAGATGTGTCATAATTTCCTGTGTATTTTTTTCCCAAAAATGTCATCAAATTCTTTGAAAAGTTATAATTACCCTTGATAAGAGATGATTTATATATTTTCTAGATTGGAACTCTCCGGGAAATGAGACTGGTAACATACATCCTTAATGAAAAGTTTTTACATGTTAATTCATCATTTTCTGTAAAATTTCACCTTAATTTGTGGGTGCATAGTTCACAAATTAATGTAATTTACACTAAATTACCACATAAGATTGATCAGGTCCTTAAATACCATGTACATCAGAAGTAATCGGAGTGAAAAACTGAGTTCCACAAAAGAATTAGAAAACTTTTTTTTTTATTGGAAAGAGTGTTATCTGAGCATTAATGATAAAACCAGTACAAAATATGGATACAATGTTTGTCAAAATCACACCTCTAAGAAACTTCTTTAATTACACATCAAATTTCATCATTGGATACATTCAGATAATTTCAAAGATAAAACAAAATCCACTTTTTATCTAAAGAAGCTAAGAAATATCACAAAAAGCAATGGAGGCACATGCTACATGAGTACTTTTTGATTCTGTTAAAATCAGCAAGTAACAGGAAAGATGGTTGGAACACACAAGTTTGAACGTGACACTTTCTATAAATAGGGGCCCTGTTGTAATGAGATATTACCGGCATGTGACTGATGTAGTATGAAAAGCTCTGAATGCAAAAATATCACATTTACACCAAAATCATTTGTGTGGTTCTGAACATGAAAACGTACATCATTCACTAACAGTTTCTGAAGATCAGTGTTATCTTCACAGTTCCCTATGTGGTATCGCACTCTGGATAAAACGGTTTCAAGGGTGTACAATTCTAGCGGCCCTAATGCTGGGAAGTAGTAGATTTTGTGTCTGGCCTTGTGAACATTTTCAATACATGTGTTTACTTTGTAAATAAAATTTTAGGCTAGTAGAATTCTGCAAAATATGCCTGTTGACTAGTATTTATGAAATTGTACACCCTAAGTGGGGTTTCTACATATCAAATCTATATAAAACCAATGTTTCAAGCGAAGTGCATTGCTAGTGATATTTATATATATCCTAATATATTTTATCGTCATCATATCACATAATTATCATTTGTTCAAGTATAAAGAGACTAAAAATACATATATACAATACATTAACAATTTAAGAAACAGTTTCCGTATGGAGACCACAACACATAAAGGATATTTGATCACATAAGCTAATACATGAATACATATTTGATAGATAAGTTATTGATAAACAAGGGGCCCAGGTGGCCTGTATCACTCAAACATTTCTAGTATGTGAACTAAAACGAAAATTAAAATATTTCCATTAATTCAAGATCATGGTGGTCGTTTCCGATTACTTATTGACCCAAACATTCACAGTAATAACACTTTTAGAACAGTGACAGCAACATCTGTACTGACTGTTAACACATTTGACCCCTGTGACCTTGAATACGAGTCATGGTTATTTGGACAGCTATCACCCTAGCAAGGTATAAGCCAAGCACTGTGACTTAAGGTCCTTTGATTGAACAGAAAAGTGGATGGTTGACAGACAATGAACCGTAACAAAATCTCACAGGAGCTAAGAATGCTGAACAGCAACTTTTTAATAAAAAGTAGCTTCCTTTGTAAAAATGACAATATAAAATATTACTGCATATGCAATTCATGCAAAATATTGAATAATGATATTATTGAACTAAATCTATTGAATTCTCATAATCAAGCTATTTCTAGTAAGAAATTAATTAATTTCAACACCCCTAAAAATCTCTATCTAATCTAGGTTAGACTAATCGAGAGACATCTCTTACTCAACACAGCAACCCTCCTGTAGTTTCTAATACACACAATCACACACACCTGGAGGAAGTAGTAACAGAAAATATGGCACAACAAGCCAGAGGTCTGTTAACTTCATAAGCCATCATTACAGTTCTGAACTTAAGTATAGCTTGTAAGTTTCGGGGGTAGAGGGTCAGTCAGCTTTGTTTCTTCCTGTGCTGGTAGGTCGGTTTGACGCCCGGCTCTGGGTCCAACACAAGTCCGATCTCTAACAACAAAGCCCTCAAAGTTGTGAACTGTATCTGGATACTATTTGCAAGGTTTTCATTTGATTCAATAAAATGATGAATTATCTCAGATGCAAATTGTAACAATGAAATAAAAATATTGCACAAAGAAAGGGATGTCAAGTCGTCTTTGTATGAAAGTACATTAAGCTATAATTTTTTAGTATAAAGCTAAGATTGTCATTGATGATGATAGACATTGTTTTACTCCACAGACAATGCAGGACACACAGTGATGATAATACCGGTATTTGATCACAAGAAGTTTACAGAAGGGGAGATTACTCATGGATATAAAAGAGTCATGGTTCATAATTATAACACAATCAATGAATAGAGTTGCAAAAACAAAATGTACATGGAAAGTTTATGGGTATGTAAATACTGCATTGATGGAAAACGTGTTGATTCATGGTACTAAACTGCAATCCAGCAATCCAGCAATCCAGGGAGGATCTTTATGATCATTGGATCTGTGTTAATGAAATACGGCCCAAATAATACAAAATCTTACTGGTAAGGAAAAAGATTACACAACAGGATAGTAAATGTAGGGGACTTTTAAGCTGTCAACTTTATGGCAAGGTATATGCATTTCTTCACGATATTGTATTGTAGTCCGTATCATTCTTTCCTCCTGTCTTGAATTTTTGAAGTATTTTGGTTAAAAATGTTATAGTGTAGATATTTAAAGGAAGTAGTGGGCATTAGACTATTTGTAAATCAGAATGTATAAACAATCCTGACTTAAATAATATGCTACAATATGTAAAATGAAATAAGCACAGTTCCAAGGATGAGGTGGACTAAACTTAAATACATGATGATACCATTGTGATTTTGAATTAATGACTAATATAATTCACAGTCATTATTTTAATCGAACACAACACCTTAAAATCTAAAAAAAAAAAGAGCCTGGTAATGACAAATATGACTGTCTCAAAAATTAGTGAACAACAGGCAATTAATTCTACTTGAAAATAAGCTCTATTTAAAAATATGGAACCAAAATTAAATTTAAACTATTGGATGATACAGAAAACTGATGTAAAAGGGATCTGGTACACTTAGCATATAAATCAGAAATTTAATGAAATATATATAAAAAAAAATGTTCCTCAGATCTGGGCTGCAATGATACACATGTATTGTGCGACAATATATCACAATATTTTGAGTACAGTATATACAATACACAATATTTTTTGGGAAGTCTCGATACAGCCACAATATTTTATATTCCTACACTACATCAACAGTGTAAACAAAACACACTTGTCATCTTTACAAAACCTTTCTATATCGAGGTTTAAGCACTAAATTACAACTATCTTTATAAGAAAAGGTTACAAAATAGCTGTTAGTTATAAAAATATTTTTTAAATAAGCTATATTGGGTGGAATCCAGGAATTCTTTCGAATGTTATATAAAAAATAACAAAGATGGCTATAAAAATAACAGCCAGAATGAGACTTCAGTATCAAATGGTAATAAAAACATCTGGTAATTATCATTTAAGTAGGGACATGATCAGTGTACAATTGGACAGTCACAACAGCTGCTTAATTATTATTAAAAAATTGAAATCTTGTTAACGCTTTGTAATGTGCTTCTGAATACTGGGAAAATTTCCCCCTTCACTCAGATAATCCATATCTGCCCAGAGTTATCCCCCTTCACTCTCGCCCTTATTTTTGAGGGATAAAAAGTGGAAAGGTAAACCATTGAGAAACTTCCCCAGTATACCGTTTCTTATACAACAAAGGACTCCTTCTATAAGTTGTTTACCTTCGTCAGTTTTATTGTATCTGTATGCAGTTAGCAACAATACTTGACGGACTCATGAGAAACCTCAAAAATCATCTCTAGAACATGTTTTCATAACTTAAATGTCAAAACTTTCTGCAAACTTTTAGCGGTTCATATCATTGTGTTGTGATGTAACTTCCGGCATATTTCTGAAGTTTGTTTTAGTTTTGCACCTTAAGGATAGCATAGTCTTCGTATATCATACTCTTTTTAGAATTAAAGAAGGACTAAATGCAATTGTTAAAATTGTTTTGCTAAAGTTGTTTGTATCTTTATATTACCTATGTGTGGTATATAATAGTCTGTACTTTTAAAAGTGGCTCATGGCCAGGTTTGAATCAGGCAAGGAATAGAGCCAAGCCGGGTTACCCTTGTGTTAGGTCATTTTATAGCAGATTCCTGCTATATCATATTTCTGTACACAAACTAATTTAGTTTAGTCCAGTATTTATTTTTTCAATTCATATTCATGACCTGTGGTGAACTGTTGAGTTAAATTTGGAGGGAACTGATGTGAAATACTGTAGGATTTGAGTGAGCTTTATAAGGAGGAATGAAAGGAAATATGAACTCCTTCACCCATGAAATTTCATAATGAACTATTCCAAACTTTCAATTGGAAGAGTTCAAATGTGGCTTTAGGGGCGAATGAGTTAATATTAAGATCTAGATAAAATACTTAAAATTTACGAACCTGTGGTGAACCGTAAAATTAGACTCAGAGGAAAAAAACATTTTAGGACTAATGACATATCCAATATAACTTGTGATAAAAAGTGAGGTTAACCTCACACGAAAATAATGTGACATGTTGGGTTTATCTTAAGTAAAAGTAAGCTAACAGGTGTATTTTCTATCTAATACATAATAAATAGTACTTGTGATTTTCTAATATTTATCCTTTGAGGTTTTCCTGTTATCTAAGTACGACTCATGCTATGGTGACACTGTTAAGAAGTGTTATTGATAGAATATTGTGCACTGTACATAATACATGTTAATTAAATGAAACCTTGCAAATTGTATTATGTTGACCTCATAATTTCTGGTACCAAATTAATTCATTGCTTTCGTGAACAAAAAGCAAGTTTCACAACAAGAGGGAGTTGGTTAAACAAGCAGATGATTCACAGGACGTAACGACTGGTTAAGTCACGAGTCTGACATTAGTACTTTGGTCACCGGTAACCGAGGGCCTCCACTTTCTTTCCGGCCCCGCCCATTGTGAGGCCTCCCAATATGTGGAGTCGTCCGTTCAGCATGATATGAGCACACGAGCAGTGAGAGGAGGGCAGATCTGTAATCTCACTCCACTGTTTGCTGCCCCAGTCAAAGGCCTCAACAGAGTTCAGCGGTTTACCTTGATTACCTGCAAAATAATTATTTAATATAACAATATTTTTAGTAATGATTTTCTGGCTGATCAAGGGATTTTTATCATAGGGAGAGGATTTTTGAAAGTAAATGTTGAGAGTACATTATCACAGCAAAGGTATCAGAATACAACAAGTATTTTCTATTTTAGCTTGAAACTGTATAGCTGTGGTCATTGTGATCTCATTTTGTTTCCTTTTTCAACCAACAAGATACCAATGACCGGTATTACCACACACACGTTGGTAGTCTACTAGACACTACCTCTGTTGGTGCTAGGGATTTGTATTTTTTTCCCCCTGGCCAACAAGGCTGATTAACATAAGTTAAGACATAACATAGAACTTGATTTATAAGTGTTGTACAAAGACCACCAGAACACACAAAAACAAGAGGCCCATAGGGCCTGTATCGCTCACCTGGATATCTAAGCAATCATGGCAGAATATTCTCCAAATGAGATCCATGGGAATATGCCAGACCCCAAGGCCAATCCTTGTAGCATATATATCTGTATTCAATTTTTCATGCCCAGCAATTTTATGTATGGTTATGGGGTGGGGATCTCAACTGTTTCCAATCTGTGACTCAGAAACTAGGTCCCTA